TTGACAGACCAGTTCTTGTACAGAGACAGTGTCAGACACAAGAGGATGTGGAGTGACTTCTGAGGTTATACAACTCTTAGAAACATGTAACACCAGTGACAACAAAGAATCTGGAAAAAAGATTTTTAGAAAGGTATAAAGAGGGGGTCATGTGATGGATTTAGCAACTTAAAGTCCCAGCAGATGAATAAGAAGCAATAAAAACTGCAGCTCTCCATTGTTGCACAGACTGAATCAAAGTTTGAATGTCTGTGAGCATTTAAATCCATGTGTGTCAGTGTTGGTATGCATGCTCATTTGCATGTGCATCAGCATATGCTAATCCAAGAACAGCCTCAAAGGAAACAAGGATGCCTACTGTCCACTACAAGATGCATTTACTTAACACTGATCACCTCTCGGGTTTATGGGTGCACAATATAGAATTTTTTTCCAATGTCCAATAGCCCACATTTTCCATGGACATTGTAAGACCAGTTCAGACTAATGATTCGTGACAAGATGACACCATTTTAGAACGCTGCAGAGAAATGTTGCAGCGGTGTGAACTGGCCATCTGAGCTCGACTCGAGCTGGCTCATGGTGTCAACTGACAACTCAGCTCATGAAATCGCCGGCAGCTATATATAATAATAATATAATAATACTTTAAAGAATTATTCAGGTATATGCTGACTGATCACGTGGAAATTTTTCTCGCTTAGACTGAAAGATTATAGTGTGGTTAAAATATCTTTGGCAGTGATGATGAGCAGGTGTACAGATGCAGAGAGCTGGCCTCAAGAGCTGCAGTTTCCTTTGAGAAATAAGGGATAAAAAAGGCGGGGGGGAAGAAGCAGCAGCACCAATTAGGATCAGACTTTTTGCACCCCACAGGAAAAGGACAAAGAGCACAGTAAACAAGGGGAGCAGGTAAAGCTACATGATGTCCTGGAAAAGCAGTGGTTTTCAAGACTTTCAGAAGATTTGAATGTTTGGATGAAAAGCACCAGGAATTTTGTAATTGTCCTGCCTTAAATATTGTTTTTCGCTGGAATGAATCCAGGATTATCGTCCGTTCTCCATGAAGGAGCAAACTAAAAATTCTTTTAAACCACCTTTCAAGTCTATCATTCATTCATAATCTACCAAATAGACTTTGGGTGGAATATTACTTTGAACTCAGACAAAACTTCTGAGACTGAGAGGATCATTACTGTCATGATCTCACACTGGGTCTATGAAAAACACTGCTATTTAGGGTGGAGAGCAGCGAGGTTTGACACTCACCACATCCCTAAATGTGAACAGGGCTTCCACTGAACCCCCTTGCCCCCCCCTCGCTGTTTTAGAGGGCAGCCCCCGCACCGAATGGAGAAAAGTTGAGATGACCCCTCTGGAAGATAAAGGAGTGAGTGAGAGGAACAGCCAAGCTCATTAGAATCAAAGGAAGAGAGACAAAGAGACAAAAAGAGAGTCATTTCTCCGCAGCCCAACAGTTCACATATTCTGAGAAAGACCTTGGAAACTCTATTATATTAGTGGTAGGAATGTGCTTCAAACTTTCTTGAAGGCTGTAAGAGAGCGGCTTTAAACAGGTGAGTTCCCCCCTGATGTTTAGTCAACCTGATGCCTGTGAAGTGGTTACACACAGTGCCTTTGCATCTCTATTGGCAGCATCTCGTGAATGGTGTGTCCTTTGCTTCCCTGAAAGTGGGACACTATGTGCTTTGCTCATTCTTGTGCTTCATGCACCGCTGACAGTGACTCCATCATTGAATGCAGTCTGTGATGAATCTGAATCAGTCCTCATGTGGGGAAACTTTTTTTATGACTGCGGACTGAGACAAACGGCTGCATCCTTGAGGACACGACTCAGTGACACTGAATTCTGAGGGCATTTACGATGTGGATGCCGTTATACAAGACTTTCACCTTGTATGTAACCTTCATTGCTTTAAAATGACTTACAGATGAAACCAATAGAGTGGGGAAAACAACAGCGCAGTAAAGGCTACAATGGCAACATCTGTAGATCGATCACTGTTATGACAGCTGGTGTCTTAAATAAATCTAATTTCCTGTTGGAGTGGGTTCAGTGCTCAGCCTGTGGACATGATCTGAGCAACAGCAGAGGGAAAAAAACATTTGTGTATGTGTGTATTTGAGTACACACAGACTCCATTTCTTATATTGTTTAAAGTTGTTTTGCTCACATTTTACATGTTTTACAAGCATATCTGGGGTGGAAATCACCAGAGGCCCTACAATAAGATAATATCACAGTACTTAAATCAAGATACAGTTTTATTGCATTTTATTTTATTTGCGACATGCTGAGTAAAGACCCTTTTAGGGCCGATGTCACAATGACGTCAGTTTGTTAGCTGGAGGAAGAACATGCCTCGTCACAACAGGACCGTAGGCTACGTAGGAGTCTTAAATGTCATCTTGTTGCGTTATTGGGACCTAGAATAGGAGTCATGGCTGATGACTTAAATTTGAACACATACCAGCCGCCACTGCCTGTCAACACAAACGAACACAACTAGGGCGATCATCAGAAATACTCGTCTCTGCAGCGCACACTTCATATCTTGTTAAGGAAAAAGTATTTCCTGTTGTAAGGATGAATAACATTATGTGTATCAAGGGTTATCATGTCCACCTCATCAGAAATTGGGGAGGTATTAAAAGGAATACTGGATTTCTCTGTAAGCTAACTTTTTAGGGCGTTAGCTAACGTTAACATTAATGGCAAAACAAACTGGAGGAAACAGCTCAAGTGTCGTCCTCCTTTGTAAGATTGACATAGTAATCAACCACAAAGCCAGCCATCCCACCTTCAGCATGTTTGTCCTCCTCTGTGTGCTCCCTATGGCATTTGCAAGAATCCACCACACGTAAATGAAAACAACTAATCAGAACCGAGGTCGCTAACGAAGCTGCTAGTGAACTGGGCTCAAACTGTGAAATTAGGCAGCGCTAATCAAATATGAATCAAGACTCACATTAGTGTACTGTGAAGCTGTAACATGAGAAAGTCTGTGACTGGCTGCCATGTTGGACACTGTCGAGGGAAAACTAAGCACTGCCCGCTGGCCAGGTCACAAACTCTCATTTTACAGCTAAACAGTACACTAAAATATGTTTCTGAAAACATCTGAGGAGGGAAATAGGAAAAGCAGTGACAGAATCTTGATTTATATTTGATCAGCACTGCCGACAGTCTGACCACAGTCCATAAGCAGTGATTGACATGGTTGACAGCTGCATTAGAGGCTCCTCAGCTCTGACTGGCTGTTTTTCAAAAGCCATGGTAGATTCTAGCATATGCCATCAGAAGCACTAGGAGGAGGAGGAGGAGGAAGAGGGGCATGGTGTTCTCACAGACTGTCTCATATAATACTGTGTGTATGAAATTCAGCAAATTTGACAAAATTTATCCTCATACAAGTTGGTAACTGTAGCTTTGTACAAGTGTTTTTTTTCTTGTCTCCAGATGATGTCATGAGTATAAAATAATGATTTTATCTGCAGCTCAGCCGATTGGTGAGGAATGCTGGTCAACATAATATTTATGAGCTGCAATCAAATGTTATACTCTTTAAGAAAGTGGTTCCCAACTGGTGCAACCATGGGGTCCAGATTTCTTCTTCGTCGTTAGTTCAAGGTCCACGGAGTTTAATGTATTCGGTGTCATACTTGTGTTTGGCCATGTAATTAGGCTAGTAGCTGTCTTTGTCATGTAGTTGTCCGTTGGTCACTCACTCTACAGCAAGGAATAGCACTTCAAAGTAAAAGCTCTGTAGCAGAAATTCAATGTACTTCAAAATATAGTATGTTTTTTACAAACTCTACACATTCGCGGTCCACTCAGAATGGACTTGGGACACACTTTTGGCATGGGATCCACCAGTTGGGAACCACTGCTTTAAGATGTTCAACAACAGAAACCAAAAAACAGTCGTGAACAGGCTGTCTTCCTGCCTCACTTTCCTCCTTCTCACTAACAAACATGAAAACCTAAACTAAACATTTACAGACATTCACGAATAGATTTCACGCTTCAGAGATGCAATCTGTTCCGGCAAAAATAAATCTAGAGCGGGGAAGAGAACTGGCTGGAATGGCAGCGGATCGTCTCTGGCAGCAGTCGGATCCTGTGTACCGGAGTGGTGAGTGTATTATTTGTAACTAGATCTTGTCTTTTCTCTCCCAGTACATACTTGTCAGGTTGTAACCATTCAACTCCACTGGGATGAAATGATCTGAAGTGGAAACTGTAGGAAGCTATGAGTCCACTATAGAATTATTTGCCCAGTGAGCTACTTCTTCAGGGTGGGTTTATGATTTAGTGGCTTAAGTGTTGTTGTAATATTACATTTCCCGGATCTTTTTAAGTTGAATGATTGATTAATAAGACAAAAGACAGCACAGGTCAAAAGAGAATCTGATGCTGGTCTTTGTTAATAAAAGACAAATCCTGTTCGTGTTTTGCCTGAGGTGAAGGTACAGCACAGGATCGTCTTCATGAGAGCTTTATGTGTCTGTGTTGTGACTGGCTGTCCCTGTGGAGGTCCTGTAAGCTGTGCTAGTCATGTGAGTGGGATCAAGCTGCTAAGCCTCTATATATTTATGTCTTTAAATTATTTAAGCTTTCTAAAATCTATGCATTCATCAGTTTGTGTCTCAGTTATCCAACAGCTCTTTCCACTTCATCATCAGAGTTTTATCAATTGCATACATCAAAGGCCGTGTGTGTGTTCCCACACGAGAGCGTGTGTGTGAGCTTGTGTGCAAGCGTCCCGGACATTAAATTCAATCCTGTAACCGTACACCTGTCTACGGAGCCAGAGAAAGCTCACATGTCAGGAGTGATGCATGTTGTTCAAAGGAGGCCACTTTCCTGTCCACTCAAAATGTCAACAAACCCACAACAGAATACAGGCCTGATACACTCAGAGTTGTCACTGTCCATGTGTTAGTGGGAGATTGTGCTGTTAAGTGCCCATGTTTACCTGAGTGTGATGGCTGTCCATGTGTCTGTGCAGAGAGGTGGAGGTGGAGGAGTTTGACTTGCTGTGACTCTCATCCTCCAGCGAGCCTGAACACAGAAATATCAAAGGCACATTATCAGTGCTGTAAAGTAACTAAGTACAATTACTTAAAGGAACACTTCACCAGCAAAATGACCATTTGTGTATCAAGTAGTCATGCCGTGTTACCCTTAATTCATGGAGAGAACTTTTTCTCGCAGGCCTCTATGGAAAGTGGTAAACATATAGATTCATTGATTGATTGAGGACCACATTTAACAACAGCAAAACTTTATCAAAACGTCATTTTAGAAACTCTCGCATAACTCATTATCCAGTCATAGGCACAGCACTTCTCACACACATGTACTTCCTTTAAAACCTTCTTATTTACAACTGAACTGAAAGCAAAACTTATCTATGCTCCCTTCAAAGCTAGACGCCAATACAAAACATACAACACAGGTATGGCCCCAACTATATAGTGGCAGGAACCAATGAGAGGCCATTATATGAGCCATACAATCACATGACAGGTGAAACAAATAGACAATAAAGGAAAAATAAGTCCATAAAAAACAAAAATAAATTCAAATATATACACACCTATCTTAACCCATAGGCTATGAGAAAAATGGCGAAGCTTTTAGAGAATAATGACAAATCACAAAAAAAGCATGCAAAGTCTATATCCTCATTAAGCCCAGGATACTTTAAAACATCCACTTGATGGATCCAAAAACCTCTGATTAATTTTCTGTATTCTGTCACACCCCTCGACCACCCCTGATAATTTGCTGTTGTTAAATGCGGTCCTCAATCAATCCATGAATCAATAAATCAGTATGTTCTCCCTTTTTCATGGAGGCATATGAGAAGAGCAAAGTTTTCTTCACAAATTCAAGGAAACACTGCCTGACTAACTGATATATAGTCATATTTGTGGGTAAAGTATCCCTTTAAGTACAATTTTCAGATACCTATTCTTTATTTGAGTGTTTCCATTTTATGCGACTTTAATCTTTTACTCGACAACATCTCAGAAAAACTAAAGCTGTCAGACAAATGCAGTTCAGTAAATATTGTACTTTTTACTGAACTGCATTTGTCTGACAGCTTTAGTTTTTCATTCCCTTCCTGTCCAGTGATAAACAATGCATCTCCAGATGTGCTGATTTTACATGCTTGTGGTAAACTGAAGGATTAAGTGTTCCTTTATGTGTTGAGAAAATTCTCCTACTTCTTAAGCTAAATAAACATTTAAAAAAACCTTCTTGGAGCAGCTGGAAAATGTATCACCACAAAGCTGAACACAGGGCTGTTTTTCTGAGCTGAGAAAAGTCGACCTCATAGAAATACGTGGTTCTTACAGGACGGTCATGCTACAATACAGCAGTAACATAAATCCAAAAACATCTGATGTAACAGTAAACCATGGATAGGGAACATTTCACTGCCCAATGAGTACTTTTACTTTTCATACTTCAAGAGATGAGACTTACACACTCTAACTTAAGGAAGGTTTCCAATGCATGACTTTTACTTGGAGTATTTTCACAGTGTGGAATTAGTACTTTAAGATAAGCGATGGGTCTGAATACTTCTTCCCCCACTGCACAATACACGGCATAAACATCTGAGTGCAAGTCCTCCCACACACACAGGTACAGGCTGAAGGACAACTTACCTTTCAAACACAAGCAGGGTTTGAAAGAGCTTTTCTCACACAAACGGAAATGTTAGAAAAAGACACAGCGTTTAAGATACACTGTGATCGCTCTCTGGCTGTGGCTGAAAAATTAGGGTCCTCTTTTAAAATAACCGTGGATTTCTGTCCTTATTTGTGAGGTCATGTCATTATGTCATGTAATTTTCCCCCTCCCTTCCTTCAATGTGTGTGTGCAGAGCTTGTATTTCAGGCAAGATGATTTTAAGTGATTATGTGACCTTGTCGTGACATGGACACAAGGGTAAAAGGGGAGTTAACGGCTTAGTCTGGCCTGCAAGATTACTTTCTTCACTTCACGGGTCAGTGGTGTCAGTCTTATTGTAGGACATTTTAGGACATTATAGCAGTAGCTTATTCTTTATTTAGAATCACATGGACTATATGGAGCCAGATATCCATCGCTTTGTCTCTGCTCATCTAGCTGCACACCTACACACCAACTTGACACTTAGATATTTTTGTAAAGACACTCACACTGTTTTCAGCCTGGACTTTATAATGCCTTCTGTCACTCCACAGGTTAAGTTCAACAATTGTATTTGCTCAAGTATGCGTTATCTGTTTCACCCAATACCCATGTCCCTTGACCCCAATCTGTATGTGAAATAAAAAGATTCAAATTATCTGTGCAAATGTATACATGTATAATACATGGGCTGTTACCATTGGAGATCTGGTTGCCATTCTCTATGGGGGCAGGGCTTGGGGAGTGAGGATGTGTGTGGTTGTTGGCGTTTTTGTCCTGTAGCTGCAGAGATGGCGAGGTGGGGGCAGAGCCACATTCTTCCCTCCCTGGCAGATTGATGTTAGAATTGAATCCTGGGAAAAATACAGCCAAAGGACAACACATTACATGTCAGTGCATGTCATAAAAAGCAGACAGTAGGCACAGTTGAATATCATTAAATTAAAGCTGGGGTAGGCAATTTAATTTTGGCATCTTTGGGCAAGAATCCAATAACAAACTTTCAGCATATTGTAATTTAAGTGCTCTGAGAGAAAACCTGCACATTATCTTGGCTTTGTTTTTAGGCTTTAGTAAATCTAGCCAGTGACGGGAGACTTTGGCCAATCAACAAAAGAGGGTGTTCTTATTGGCTATTATACAAATTCAGATGTGTGTGCACTTTCCTTCGGTAAAAGCCTGATTCAATGGCAGACTATCTTGCAGAAAAAGCTGCTAATCCAGCAGTGGCAACACCTGCCTAGACTGCAAAGCAACCCAGATAAAGGAAGAAGGACTTATCAAAAAGTGAGTCTAAAAGAGAATCTGACCATAGACGGAACAAATGTGTGAATGATGGCGAAGTGTTTCAGAGATAGAGAGAAAATATTGTTCGCAGTTTAACACAGAAGATCAAGGATGGCAGATGCAGCTTCAAGTTCATGTAGCTAACATTAGCTAGAGCCGCGGATCACGGTATATCCGCCTCACTCCACACCGCTGCAGACCACCTTGCTGGGAGGAGAGTGGGCAGCAGCTCCGGAGATGGACCCCCAATCAGTAGCTGCAGTAACCCAAATTCAGCCAGCTCAGAGGGACTGGACAGCACCAACTTCCCGCCAAATCAGCAAACTTTCTGTTGCTGCCGTTACACAGGTTAGACTTGTCACTGCTGCTGTGACACCTGGCACTGGGGTGGTTTACGCTGGCTGAATTTGAGCCAATACAGCCCCTGACCAAAGGTCCATCTACGGAGCTGCTGCCTGCTCTACTCCAGACCAAGTTTAGCAGTTTAGCTTTTTGCCTTTTTCAGGTTTCTTTCTACCCCAACTTTAAACCATGCATATGTTTCATCACACAGGTAGCAGAACAAAATCCAAAACAATGCAGGGAGTCTGTTGTTTTGACTCGTAATACTGCAAAATATTCTATTTTTTACAAATATATTTCATTTAGATATTACATATTTAGCATTCAGTAAATTGTGTGTTTATTCCCAGTATCTTCTCTCCACTTAGTCCCATCCCTCCTATCACAATTAAGCCTTTTAAAAAGTATTAATCCCCTCTGTCTGGTCGGAAGGTGACTCCACATGACCTGTCTCTGTCCCTGCTGCTGCTCTTGGGCCTCACATGCTCTCCCAATGAGTAAGTGACTGTGGGTGCATATGTGCATGTGAGTGTGAATGGGAATTCGTCAGCTGCCGTCCCACACTGAGAATGTTTGCCTCCTGGTCGCCCCATGGTCACAAGATGCCTAAATATAAACTTAGCAGACCCTACTATAGGTCCCACGGGGCAGGTGTGTGTTTCTGAGGGACAAAAGGCCAGGTAGAGGAGGGAAGGGCTCAATATGACAGCTGCATGTTTATGAAGAGTCACAGTGAGTATGTGAATTTGTATAATGAAGACTATAATGAGGGAGAATTGGACTTTTATCCAATTTGGGGAAATTTTTATTTTGCTGTTAAGGCGTGAGGTGTCTTATAACAGTGATTTCCTGAAGCCTGGCAGGACCACCTGCCCTCTTCCCCTGGCATTCCTGTGGTTTTCTCATTCCCTGAGGATGACGAAGGGGAGGAGGAGGAGGGAGAGGCAGCTGCTCTTCACAGAGATGTCTGGAATAGCAACTGTAACCCCTGGCCACTCCCACAGCGTCAGGTATCACACTCAGTCATTTAACAGCTGGGGGGAACGGAAGTAGGCCATCCCAATAAGCCCATCGGCATCTCGCTGCGCTCTGATCTAAGAGGACCGCCTTGCTTTGCCCACTCAAAATAACAGCAAGGTTGTGAACCCAAATTTCAGGTTCCACTGTCACATACACTGTTTCCATGATGCTTTTCCTGCGCAGGTCCAGGTGCTGACAGAGTCAAGCGCAAGACGTCACGTGAGGCTTGTGCGTCATCCTGTGCACTTGCTCTCATACCGTCTCTTATAAGGAGTTCAGCTTCATGCCCCTTGAACTTGTTATGTTAATAGATGTATGACACAACTGTGTCTCATATAAATCATGCAGCTCCACGATGATATGAGCCTCTAGCAGGATGAGTAATTATTGACACCAACTTTCACTTCATTGCAATTTTTCACCTGTTTCGGGTGTCCTGTTTGCTGCTGCTGGGCAGTCACACCGACTTCAGTAGAACATGAATGAGCTGTTTAATATTTGATAGCCATCCTCATCATTCTTCTGCTCATAAATTATTAACCCAGCCACAACTAATACACTTGGAGGAAACAGAGACTCCGATAAAAACACAGTGGGACGACACAATTTCTACCTTCTCTCAAGTGCCTGTGTTTTCTCAAGCTGCAGTGTCAACGGTAAATTCGCTCTCATAGAAGCACAACAAAGTAATTTCTTTGCTGGTTTGAAACCTCTGACCTGAGCACCCTCCCTTTTTATTGACTAAGCCTGACAAATACATTTGGCCTCTTTTTGCAAAGGTCAACCTTTGCATCAGTGTCACAGAGCCTATATGTGCTCTGCATGTACAAACACAGCTAGATCATACTTTCAGTGCAGTGTGATGCTAAGTGGGCTACACCAGCTAGCTCATTAGATAACATGTTAGAAGGCAGCTGCAGGAGCCAAAGGGCACCACACTGGAGACTGTAACAAATGGGCTGCCTCAAGTGGGCCAACAAGGGTGGCTGGCTACAACACCTGAATCAATGTAAGGAGTTTCTAAATGTAGAAAAGGGGGATTTATGAGGAAGGCTGTTGGGTGCTGGTCCATCTCACCTCCCTAGCACTCAGAGTACACGTGTAAATCCACATGCACACCGACCCACAACTCACACAAAAACAAGGGGGTTATTACTTACCTACAACACTACACTACTCCTGCTGTACAAGAGGTAATCACCCAGTACCCAATAAATCATGTGGCACAGAGCCGGCTGAGACTTTGATCATGAACTCATCACAGTAGATAGAACACATAATGGACACATGCACTCCCGCACAAACGTGTACATGAGCAAGCACATGTAGGCGCACACACACACACACACACACACACACACACACACACACACACACACACACACACACACATACATTCAGGTTGGCTGGGACACAGCATGAAAAATTACAACAAAGCAAAGGTTAACTGAACCCCACCACACATATAACCACACACCAAAAGGTTCACATATGTTGGTTTGGCCTAGTGTGGCCAAAGATGGCAAATGGAACATTTACCCATGACTGCAGTTGCATTTAAAGGGATAGTTCACTCCAAAATCAAAAATGCACATTTTTCCTCTTACCTGTAGTGCTAGTTATCAATCTATATTGTTTTGGTGTGAGTTATCGAGTGTTGTATTGACTGCAGAGATGTCTGCCTTCTCTCTAATATGATGGAACTAGATGGCATTTGGCTTGTGGTGCTCAAAGCCCCCCAAAAATACATTTGAAAAACTCAGCTCCTTCTACTGAACTACACCCAACTGTGTCATCGCGCATCTACTGCTAGCTCACCTAGCACCACTGAGCTGGCTAATGTTACAGCTCAGCCAAGGAGGATGTTATTTATTTTTACATCTTTTGCTGTCATGAGCACAAGCCTCTCGACTAAGAATAGATGAACCCAAACTACACACGCCAATCGTGTCACTGCACACATTTTTGCCACATTAAGCACCACAAGCTGAATGCGATCTAGTCGGTGAAGATTCTCAGTCATCCAGGTCATGGTGATCATACGTGCTATATCGTAGGCAACGCAAGCATGTCCAGTTGTCCAGTTCCACTATATTGGATAGAAGGCATCTCTAAGGCCGATATCATCAACACTTGGTGACTCGAACCAAAACAATCTAGACTGATAAAATAGCACTACATGTACGAGGAATGATGAGAGGAAAAGGGAAAGACAGAAGGAGAAACAATTATTTTAGTCTCTGGTGTTCAAATCCATATGTGCTGTGATCTTCTCTCTGCTTGTGTTTCAGATATGTGTAACTGTGTGTGAGCGTGGGTGTTTTACTGACAGACCTCCATCCCTCATCTTGCGGCCAGAGGTGGACTTCCTCAGCAGGCTGCGTCCTGAGCTGAACAGCGTGTTGAGCTCATCCAGGGGGCTGGTCAGGGGTCTACCATTGGCTGGGTTGAATAGCAGGGGCGAGGAGGAGCATGAGTGTGCTCTCCGTGGCTCAGGGCGAGACATCTTCACTGGAGAGTAGGGAGGTGGCTTCCCCAGTGGTTCCCCAGATGGCCTCTGAGTGGATGAGGTTTTGGGGGAGTCTGAGCTCCCTGTGACAGATGCCGCTCGGGTCAGAGCCAGGAAGTTAGCCTCAGGCGGGAAGGGAAAGTGTGAAGGTGGTCTGTAGGGAGGAGGTGGGGCATTTGGGGGAGGAGGTGGAGGTGGAGGGGTGAGTGGAGGTGTGGACTTCTTCTCTGGCATGAGGACGGTGAGGCTGGGGGAGGAATCAGCCCTCTGGCGAGCATACTGTGGGGAGAGGGGGCTGTCTGGGCCAGTGGCATAGTTCAGGTTTGTCTCAAACACAGGCAGCTTCTTTACCTCGAGTGGGGTGAGAGGTGACTCGTCTGAGGCAGGAGAGCAGGTGACAGGGGAAGGGGGGAACACCAGGAGAGGTGGACGGTGGGGAAGCAGGTTGGGGAAGGGAGCAGGGATCTCACAGCTGCCATCTTTGCCATGTTGAGTCTTGGGAGCTCCGCTGTTGGACGTGCTCTGTGAGTGACTGATGTCTACGGTAGTGCTCACCCCGGCTGCCATCCGTTTGGTCTCCCCGCTCTGAGGGGGAGATACCCCCACCCCCACTAATCCCACCAGGCCCAAGCCTAGAGCCTCCAGTTTAGCTGCCTTGCTAACCACAGTGGCAGTAGTCGTACCATCTTCATGAGGGAAATACTTCATCTCCTCATAGACAGCCTCAGAGTCAGCCAGCTCTGGGCTATCAGGGGGCTCCTGGAGGCTCCGAGCCCGGGGCTGGGAGCCCAACATCTCTATGTACACGTCCTCTTCGTCTTGGCCCTGGTACAGGCTCAGTCCGACCCCATGTGGGGCATCTATAGAGGCTGCTCTCTGCATCAAACCACCAAATCCAAATCCCCCAGCACGGGACAGCAAGGCCAGCTTTACATCAGCGGGACGCAGCTGGTGGATTTGGGGTGCTGCAGCATTGATTTCCTCATACGAGCCTGTCAGTTTAGTGTTCGGACTGCGTTTAGGTTTGGGGGGTGGCACCTTCCTCATGGTTGTGTAGTCGTCACTGTGGGGACGGGGCTTGGACAAGGCTGAGGAAATTGGAAAAGAAGCAATTAAATACAGAAAAAGTCAAGGCATTAGGCAACAGCATCAAGGCACAAAAAACACCATCTGTTGTATCTTCTAAAGAGTAGAAGCGATATATACCTGCAGGGTCTGTGGGGGACAGCTGGGATTTAGGAGGGCTTCCAGCTGGCGAACCGTACCCCTCTGGAGTGGGGCTCTCTTTGACTGCCATCGTCAACCCCGCACTAACGGCTTCATAAGATGCACTCAAACGAGTGTTGGGGTCCCTCTTTGGTTTGGGAGGAGGTTGCTTACGAGGAGAGGAAAGGCCTCCCCCGCCTGCAACGTCCTCGTTGGTGTGAGCCACCTGCTGCAGGGCTGGTTTGATGGATGGACTGGCAGAGGAATGGACCATGTTCTCCATGGCGAGGGGGATGGGTACTGAGCTGGACCGAAAGTGGCGAATAACTCGACTGCCCCCGTTAACAGAACCCTCATAGACTTTCCCACTTTTCTCCACAACCCTGCAAATGGGAAGAAAAACAACACTCAGATTTTAATGGATGAAAGAAAAAACAGACTGTTTGCACTGAGTCACGCGTTTAACAAAAAAAGCATGACAGTTTTAGGCACAGCTTTTTCCCATCCAATAGTTTCGTGATCCAGATTGAATTAATGACATAACTTGCATCACCAAAATACTCAAACTCAATGTATGCCTGCCTCAACTGTCACTCCTCAAATATGAGCTAAGGAGGCCACTTGGAGGATAAAGACCACAGAGATTACGCTTTAAATCTAATCTCCTTGCAGTAATTTGATAACATCCAGTTTGATATTTCCTTTGCTAATCTGCGCGAGCCATCTGTTGGTTCCAGGACTGCACTCGGGGGGTGGCCTAGCATGTGCGTAGGTGATGGGGGGAGGCATTTTAAGAGAGAAATCAGGTGAGTTTGGGTGAATACTAATCCCCTCTACAATATGACGCTGGCGACTCCTCTCCCAGTCCGCCCACTGACACCCCTCCTCCTGTTCGATACCTCCCTGTGCTCCTGTTTTCTGTCCAGGCAGCAGATGTTACATGTGCAAGGACACACAGAGGACACAGAAATCATGTGTGTATGTTTCTTTTCATCTTTCATTTTATTGCTTTATCCTAATATTAAAACACAATAGTTATTTTTTTTAAAAAGTGTTAAAAATTGCTGTTGCAGTCAGTCTTGTATGGTGACCTTTTACATTTTTGTGTATCAACTGTGGTTATTTCTCATTAAAACGATATGCGATAGTGTTTTTTTCCCCCACTGTATTGACTTTTACTTCACTTTGTCAGGGTTTTTAAAGCTGTATGTTAGTCTATGATGATGTTTAGAAGCAAAACACTTGCATATGTCTGTGAGTTAAACAGCAATCTTAAAAAAAATGTATTTACATGTACGGTATTTTGTCATTTTGAGAGAAAGCCTAGTGACATTAGCATATTAAGCCCTGTTTCCAGCGAGCACTACGTTACAGGTCAGTTCAATCTGCTTTTTCTCCATTGCTACTGTGAAAAGTTGTGGATGGTACCAATGGAACCGTCCCGTACCGCAGCAGCTGGAGTCTGAGAAAAAATAACTTACTCGGCCGACTGCCGGCAACTTTTAAGGTGGAACGTTAACTAATAATGTTACTCAATGCAGGAGTTGAAGACGTGAATCCATCAGCACACCTTAAATTTCACTGTGACAACTTTGACCATTACTTTAGATTTTATATGACATACACTTTAAGCAATGAGTGGATCTTCAAGTGTTTATATATATTACTTCAGACTGGGACAGCATATATCCCAATCTTCACTCAGGGAGATAAAAAACAAACACCGGCGAACGTCGTTCTTGTGGGTTCTGGCAACATTAAACCCCTGAGCTTGCCTGAGAAGGACTAAATGCACAAACCCACTATTTTGAAATACCTCATCAAGAGAGACTCTCACTGCAGCCTGTTTTGTTTTGTTCAGAAAATGTCTGCGTGCAGCCTCGTTCTATGGACGATAAATGAGGTGCAGACTTCCATCTGTGTCACTGGTAATGAGGAAATACAGTGAGTGCTGGACGGAGCAGTGAGTGACGACATTCCAGAGTACTTCTTGCTGTGGAAATGCTAGGGTCTAGGTACCATGTCTGAAGGGTTACTCTTGGTTCCAGGGGTACCATACTGAAAGTGTTTGGTGGAAACGGGGCTTTTGTAACCAATCATTGTGAGGCTGACAGTCATTATCATTTAACAGTGGCAATGATCAACTGAATAGTAATGCTTCCTCTGCAGAGAGAAAAAGATGCTATTAAAATAATAAATGCATTTATTATTCAGCATACCATGGAAAGCCTAATATATATCACATGTACACATTTACAGGTTTAGCTGAAATGAAAAAACTGTCTTTTTTTTTACCTCCCCATAAAGCTGCCTCTTTTTTTTTCTTTTTCTTTTTTAATTTACCCTTTCTCACTCAGTGCGAAAGGGTCATTCAATTTACTCTTGGCCCGATATGCTATATTAGAATGAGGTGAGGCGGCGATGAGGATAGCTTTCCATAGGTGCAACACAATACTAATACAATCTGATAAGGCAACTCATTATCTGACTATCCATCATGAAACTTACAATTAAAAGCCTACAGCGCACAGGGATACAATGACATCATTAATGAGAAAACGCATCACACAGACATAGGTACACATGCAGACGCACACACACACACACACATTTATAAAGGCAAATGATTGCCTCATACAATCATACATTCTGTGAATGACAGTAGCTGCAGACTGCTTATTTCAAGGCAAAATGATCCTACAGTCACTACGAGGCCATCACACTGAGTGTTATGAATTATATTGTAGTGAGCAATAAAAACCATGTTTAAGTGAGATGTTCTTGATTGGTTGCAATAATGTGAAGTATTCTGTAGCAAGGTACAACTCTATTATTCAAGCAACTCTTTAATCAAATGAATATCTATATTATAACTGCACATCGATGTTGCATCAATAGTCACGTATCTTTGCCTTCAGATAAGTTGCGAGGGTGTTTGCTAATTTACCTCCTGACAGGCTGATCCTCCTCCTTCCCAACCGGCTCAGGCCTCTCACCAAGCGGTGGGCTGCTGCCGAGGGTGTTGAGAAGGCTGTTGCCATGGCAGCGCAGGCGGTCGCTCTCTCGTGCGATGTCGGATGCGTTCTGGATGACCAACTGGTCGTAGGTTCGCAGCCCCATGTCTTCTGCCCCCTGCAGAAAACGCTGCACGCTGCACTCCTCTTTCTGCTGCAGTGACAGCCTGCGGTGAACGCGCTGTCTGGCCAGCCAGCCGCGCACCACTGAGACACAAGGAAGAGGAGTAGAAGAGGATGGAGATATCAGAGGTGTCAGAGAAAGAAGGAGAGATGAACACTGAAAGAACAACGTGGTTTGTTGGTTCGTTATTTTGGGTATTACCTTTCTGACAGGTGATGATCTTTTTATGGAGCTGGTAGCATCGGTCGTTGAGCTGGTCTGCCTGCCAGTATCTTAAAAACACTTTACTGCTGCCCATCTACACACACAAACACACACACACACACAACACAAGTCATCTGATCAAACATACATGTTGTGCACTATACCACCATCATCATCATCAGCTTCTGGAGTCTGCTTGTCTTCTGTTGGAAATCTCAGAAGAGTGTGGACTTGATAGGAAAGCAGTGATGTAGCAATGATGTATGGTAATAGGTGGGTGTGGAGTGTGGGGAAGACAATGAGTTTGCATGTTGACACTGCATTCACTTCCTGGATTTAGAGGGCATTTGGGGAGCAACAGAGGTCACCCTATACCAGGTGCACAGAGCTGTGGGGGTGACATACTTCCACAGACACTATTCATTCCAACACACGCTACTTGTAGGAGTGGTGTGTGTGAATATGTAGAGCAGGGCTGTTTGAAAAGGTGTCTGCGAGGCATTGTGGAGGAGTGTGCATGCGCGTGTGAGGCGGGAGCTGATGTGACCTGTGGGGTCACACACTCAGACACAACAGCAGTCTGGCAGACAGGACAGAGAGGGGGGCGGACGGGTCCATGCTGCTGCTGCTGTGTATGTGTGTGTGTGTGTATGTGCGTGTATATGTGAGGAGAATGATGATGAGGTGGGACAGCTGGAACGAGTTGTCAGAGATTCCATTGGATCTTTCAAACAGAGGGTCAGGGATTAAGTCATTTGGCAAATCTTTTGTTGCTGATGGACACAGAAAACAAGAATAAAGATATAGACACACAAACACACACACACACACCTGCCATCCCTGCAGTTTGGACTGCTGCAGAACTGAGCGACATCTCTCTTCTGGTGACAGTTTCTTCTTGTCTCCCAAAGTCGGGACAACAAGGTCTTTATATCTGAGACACACAAAGAAAAACAGAAATGATTAGAGCTGAAGTGCTGAAGTTAAAAATTTAGGCATGACACAGTAACTCCTCCTCTTTCCAGAAACAATGGGTTCAAAGGTCAGTGAGGTCATACGGCAGACCAGCCAAACAGCATCTGTTCCTATTGGTGTTGCCCTGGGCAACCGTTGCTATAAATGGTCAGCTGGATGGAGACAGTGGTTTGTTTGTGCCTGGGACGGTGGGGGTGAAAGGGAAAGAGAGCAGGAGAAATGTTGACACTGAATCCAATCACAGAAAATACATGGCTCTTAACATGCACATATTTGTAGATGTTTTTGTATGTGGCATGAAAGAATAAGTAGTGTAAGACAGAAGCTTCCTCATTAAGTGGAACTTATCAATTTAAATACCCATAACTTTCCGACAGAAGACTGGTGACCTTTTTTTCTTATAAACTGACCTCTTTAACCTCAGAGAATATCCTAGATTGGCTTTTACTATCCCTAACCAAACCTCTTTGTCAAATCCTAACCATTTATAACCTCAACGCCTCAATGTTAAAAGTACTAGCCAATCCATAATAACGCGTCGTAGGGAAGGGTGTAAATAGCCGAATAGCTGCTGTGTGACTATCCTCACCCAGGTGCAAATTGACGCTCATAAAAATGAAGCTCAGCATAAGTTCAATCAGGAAGACTTTCTTTGTGCTCATCCATTCACAGTTCTCTCCCTCCCACTCCCACTGCTTCCTCTAATCAGCTGACTATGGGTGCTCACTCTTCTAGTTATCCAATCAAACTTTGTCATGATCTCTATCAGCCAATCAGGATGCTACTGCAAAATTTTAAATCTGCTCTCTTCTCTGCTGCTGTCAGCTGTTATTTCAGGCAGAATCTTCGCGCCCTCCTCCACCCCGTTCACCTCCAGCATTGTATCCAGAGTTCAGGATGAGCTCAACAAAGGCTCATTCCTCTACTCATCCAGATCATCAGCACTTCTCCATCTTCTTCTCATCTCATCTTCACCATCTCTACCACCACCAGTGTCTAGTTCCCTTTTTGACTATGGATTCATCTCCCTCCTTAAATAATACTATCTCTACGGGGTCTAATCGCCAAAGACTTTTTTAGATTTTTCATTCTTATGTGCATGTTAATCGATATTCTGTCCTGACTGAAAGATAAAGGCAAAGATTTCTCCCACTCAAATGCAATTACTTCCAAAGGGCCCTTTTCAGCCCCTTTCCACTTGCTCCAGGAAGACTCAGCAGCCACACACCATGTTAGTGTGACCATAATTGTACCAAAAAAGAAGAAGACAACGTGATGTAGTAATGTACCTTTAATTCAGCAAACACTGCTTTGTTTATTTAACCGATATTTAAATAATGCTAAAGTAGCGTTTTCTAAAATGTCCTCATGGAGTGCAGGCACCTGTTGTGCTGTCTGAGACTACAACGTTACTATCAACCAGAACGAGCTAAATTTGTATCTTTAACCACAATATGTCGAATATGCACCCAGAACAAAAAGGGATTATTCTCATAACAAGCAGTACAGTTTCCATGGCTTACCTACACTATTCCTCTGCACCTACAGAAAGGAATAAGTTGCCAGCTGTATTGTATAATACTGGATTGTCTCGTATTGAAACAGAAAATGCACTGTCCCTTACTGAATCAATACAGGACAGGACTTGTCCCATATTTTCATGTACACCCCACTCCCACTCACTCCTCACAAACTTGGAACAAGATAAGAAATAATAAAACCAAGAGTTTTGACAGTGGAGAAGCATTAAATCTGAATTTGCTGGAAAAAAAGATGTCTAGAATGACAGGCCTACATTAAAACATTGCCTGTCGTAAAACACACCCAGCAGCATACCTTGAATTATGTGTTTAGTCATGTGGTTCTGATTTTTCTTTCATATTATATTAACTGAATGCCAAAAGTTATTTATTTTGCCACTTTATCTTACTGATACTACTGACATCTGCTGCACCTTGTTTCACTCAGTACAACTCCAATTAATAAATCAGCAGTTATAAATATGTGTAAACTGTGTCATCACGGCAGACGAGCAGAGCATTATCTGGGAAACATGTTAATTCACTTAACGTGGAGCTAAAATTAACAGCTTTATGTCAAAAGTTCACTGAATGGGTTAGTGTCTGTAAGGAATCATAAATCACCTTTTAAAAGGATTAGATGTTCATCGTAAACTAGCTTGGGCTACATTAATTATATCAATATGTCAATGTAGCAAGGCAAGCTAATTGCTAGTGTTCTATTAGCATTATTACCATTAGAAAACGGTTCCGGTTCAGTGCCGAAAGTCGCGCACATAACTCATGCAAGCTATCATGGGGTCGAGGAAAAAGGTGGGTAAAATGACTCATTTAAACTAAAATAAAGGCGGAGTATCGTGGGGCACAAAACACATATTATAGGCTTATTCCACAGCAGACATATTTATTTCCCATAGCAGGAAAAGTGTCCCTACTGTAAGTTATGACAGTGTGACAGTGAGCCAGCATGCCCAATGCCAGGACCCTGAAACCAAAGCAGCCATCATAAAGTTATTATTTTCACCTGTGCTTTTCCTACCGTGATATGTCAAAACACTTTTTATGTCAAAGTCTTATGTTATACTAACTGCACATCAACAGTTACCTTACAAATGTTTCACATTGTTAATCACACAGTATAGAACCATATTTTCTATGAGTCCTGCTGTTTAATGTAATGCATCTCTTGCTGCTTTAATGACAGAAATGTAACAATAGGCATAATCAACAAAAGCTTTCCCATATAGTTATTTTGTGTGCACAAGAACTGGTTAAACACAGTAAGTAAATGAAAATATTAACGTTGACACGCAGGAAACACAATTAATTTTAAGACAACAGCCTGAGGGTTTACCCTCGTGTTTCTGTTTAGGAGCTGAATATGATTTTTTTTTCATCTTGAAACTCAGTGTTTCCCTGACATTTTACAAATCTCAAATAAATCTATGATAAACTGTGGTGAGGTTCATGATATCACCACCTGACATGGCTAGTACAAGAGCGACCCACACAGATCAATATTCTTTGGGAAGCCCCACTTTTTCAGGCCTAGATTTGTCTTTGTCAACCCACACTGTTACTACAGGCCCCTTTATACAACCCTTTAGACATCAAGGGATATGTAAGAGTATAAACTGTGTTAAGGCTGGGTGATACAGAGAAAATCAAATGATATTTTTGACAAAATACCTCAGTACTGATACTGCATCAGTGTCGAAGGGTTGACTATTGGTGCTACAATATCGCAGCGTCCCTTAGCAATGAGGCATGAACTTGTTTTGCTGGCTCTTTATTCCTTAAATTAAACACGGGCTATTGTGGGCCACAGCCAACACCAACCTGTCCACTTTACAAGGTGTTGTCTGCATTAACAGGTACTTCAACAGCTCCTGTTCCTCAGCTGCGCGCACACAAACTAGAGGAATAACAACCCTCCCTCCTCAAACCTATGCCAATCACAGGAGGGTATCTCACACAGATCACTGTCATAGGTGCTAGTATTGACGAGCTAATACGCAAAAAAACTCAAATTCATATCGGTTGGACAGTGCTTTTTGTCTGTAAGTGTTCGCCCCTGAGCCAGCAGCTGATGATGTCACACATATGATGAGGAAAATATAACAAGCAGAAGGCTGAGAGCATAAACCACTTGTGTTGTCAATAGTGAGTAAGTAAGTGCACGTGAATGTGGGATGTGTTTGATTTGCAGGAGTGGGGTCTGTCTGAACTCTCCCTCACCCTCTCTCTGTATGGTAATACTGGTCCTGCAGACAGCACACGCTGTCCCCCTGGGCCCATAAAACACAAAGGAACTCTGTAAACCCATGACCTCCCCTGTGAGGATATGAAAACCATCGATGGTCCCCGCTTTTACAAGACCCAAGGGGGCTTCATGTGGAGTCAGAGAAGTGAAATAACGCCTTTGATAAGAGTTTAAATGGAGGGCTACGGGGCACTAACGTGGTTCTGTGTGACCAACAGGCCATCAGATCACTGTTAGCGAATGTCACAGAAGTGGTAAAGGTAACGCAGCTGGAATTTAAACCACTCACTTCCTCTCTGAGGCTGCTCTTATCCATCAGACAAACGTTCAGTTACCACAAGCTCGTCGGCTTTGTTTAGTCACAGGTTTTACTTAATAACCTACAAATGTGTGTTTTTATCTATCAGTCAGAGGTAATGGGACCCACTTGGAGTCAACCACATAGAAAATATGACCTATATGCTTGTTAGCTGCATTTGTAACATGCTCTATGAATACTGATGTCTCTTTCTCTGAAGAACTGAGGCAAGAAACAGGTTCAAGTGGTAGTATTTGACCTTACACATCAGTAGAAAATAAATTCGGCCACAAAACACATAGTGTATCATAAAAGACAAATAAAAGCAACAGTAAAATAGATTTCCTCATAAATCACCCCGGTTACCAGGGCAATAATGTAATTTGCTTCAGGCGGCCACCATGACTTCGTGAAGTGACCTACGTGGTTCCAGAGTGCGAGTGTGCGTTTGTGTGTACACACTGGTGGGTTTGTGTTCGCGAGAATATAGCAGCCTCGAGATTAATGGTTGATTTATTGTCCTGTCACTTTGATTAGTCAAGGGCCGCGGCCTGTTTTGAAAGAGTGACAGACGGAAAAAGAAAAATAAGAGACAGGACAGAATTGCAAAAAGTGTGTGTGTGCACATGAGAGAAACGAGCTGAAGGAAAGAAAGGAAAGATGATGACTGAAATGAAGAAACTGAAAGGATGAAAGACAAAAAAATGTTTGGGTCAGATAAAAAGGCAGGAAGATGAAAGAAAAAAAGGAAAATGGTGGTTCAGAGGAGACAGCATGTGAGGAAAGGATAAGAAATCGAGTGAGAAAGAGCTGTGTGCAGACAGCGGTGTTGTCCACCCCGCTGCAGCTCCCTCTTTGGCCGAGGCTGTGTTCATTCA